TTTTTTTTTCCTTACAAATAGACAAATATATTGTTGTTCCTAGCACACAAAAAGGAACATAATTAAATAGTAAATATTGACATGATTAATAGATAAATTTATTGTAAATTAAATAAATAAAGAATTTGAACTTTTTATCTTGATCATTAAAAAAATTAATGATTAAAGTCGCATTACTATATTTCACGAGTATAAAGATGACCAAACCATCAAAATGGTTTTACCATAATTTTTAGATGACTAGCTTGAGACATAACTAGGTTGCTTTCTTGAGACGATATGCGTCATCCATAGAATTTATCCGATGCAACGGATAAAAAATATATTGCACGCCATCTCGGGGATACAACAAGCTCATCCACCTTGCCGTGTCTTAACAAGTTTGCACTACTTGTAAAACTTGAAACTCTAAATAAAATTTAGTACCTCTTTTACCCAAAAAAAATAAAATAAATAAACATTATATGGCTTTATAGTGGGAGATTAAAAAACACAAAAAATGGAGAATTATTTTTCTTCTTCACTAAAAAGCACCGAAATAGTTTTCTTTCTAAATAACAAGAATATAAAAATGTTGTGCACTTGTAAATGATAGAAAAAACAAGTATATATAGCTGAAAAATAAGAGTCGACCATTAGTTGGAATTCAATGTACACTATTAAAGAAAATTCATGGATAACAAACGTTAAGAATGAATTTAAATTATGTCAATAATGACATTGAAAATAAATGAAAATTTTAAATGTTGCATCCTTTTAATTTACCATGCAAGTATTAAATAATATAAGTATTGGGAACTCGTTGTAGTCTTTTATTTTTAATGTACCATGTGTTGCATCAAAAACTATTTTATAAACAATAATCCAAAAATTGCCCACTTATTTTTCATCAAATAGTAGCCATGGTTTTTTAAATAAATAACACAATAAATGTATTTTTTTATATTTTACTAAAAAATATTTCAACAATCCCCCACTTATTTTTTAATAAAATATAAGTCATATTTTTTGGGTAAGTAAATGAACATAACACATAATAAGGGTGTCATTGGCTTGAACCCTTACTTAGTGTTTCAAGCAACATTTATCTCAAGCCAATAGTGAACATTGTCTTAAACTAAGGCCTTTTAAGTGAAACAAATATTGTATCGGACATATTATATTCGGGTACACCGTGACGAGTTTCGAGCCAGCACATTAACGAGTCTTGTGCTTGATCCCGGCTTCTATGAGTGTTTTAGAGAATTAGCCCGATTCTCATAGGAAGCAACCTCACTTCCTCACTCATATAGGTGTGTCTATCAAGGATGCTCCCATAACTCTAACATCCCATTCAATAAGAACTATAGACCACATTAAAAGTTTCATTTAAAGAAACTTAACCTCTTTTTCATTAGGGGATTCATGCACTACATCATAGGGATACATATATGAGTATTGTAACTCAAATAAATTATGCATGTAATCAAACCACTCTATGCTCATTCTTCTCCTTGAACCTAGTTCTTGGGATCTCCAGTTCCTAGGTAGAGTATCCACATATGTGATTTTATTCATTTCTCGGGCTTAGTCTCATCTCCCTCGATGTATCACTAATCCTTTGACTTTAGCTAAATATTTACTCCCATAATATTCAATATACACCCAAAGGATTAGGTAAATAGCACTTAATTCGTTTATTAGTGCTAAGACAAGTGATTGGAATTTTTCATCCTTGCTATTTTTTTCTTTAGACGAAGCATACCATCCACTTGTTTTTTTCACTAGCATCCACTTATTTTTTCATTAGCTTTGGCTTTTTAGCCAATTTAAGTTTCACCACACACACACACTAGCCAATGATAATCATACTTTTATTAATTTTTTGCACCATCAATATCACCATGCTAAAGCATAATGGCATCATTGTATTTTTAATACAATGAAAATATTTAATATAATCACATTGAAGTGAATAGTAATATTTTCCGATCTCTAGTTTCTCATACAAATTTGACATCATTGTATCTCATCTATACAATAGGAATGTCAATATGTAGCTAGAGATTTAAATTTCTCAAAATATCATCAATTATCATATTAGACAATATTATTATAACACCATTGTATCTTGATTATACAATAGGAGTGTCTTTAATTTCACTTATCGGATTATATCATCAAAACATCATTTGACCTTAATTGTACAATAGGAGTGTCTTTAATTCTATCAATTCTTTGAATATTTTTGTCAAGTATTCCATAAGCATCACTAGACCTTTTGTATAATAGGAATGCTTTTATCAAATATTCCATACGCATCATTATACCTTTTGTATAATAAGAATGCTTTTATAAATATTTCAAAATTATCATTATACCTTTTGTATAATAGGAATACTTTTATAAATATCCGCAATAAGATAACATTAAAAATTTACATATGGCAAAAAATTCAAACATCATGAGAAAAATTATGATAATTTATCATCATGAGAGAATTATGATAATTTATCTTGAATTACATAATAATTTTCTCAAACAAAATTTTAATGCAATAACATTTTTTTATGCCCCCACTATTCACATAATAATTAATTTTCTCGCTACCACTCGTAGACAAAGTGATGACATAAATTATTCTAATATTTCATCATCAACAATTATAATTTATTCTTGTGGCTAAATAATCAACAAGATATCTTTTAGAAAATAATATAACAAATTTTTACTTTCACATAGAAAATATTGCATGATAAGCTCTTTATTAATTCATGTAATTTGACAATTTATCTCAATAATAATCTGCCAATAAGATTATTATTTCCATAATTATTTATATTGTCATAATTGGATATAGTTGTCAAACATAAATTGTAATGACAATTTCAAAAGCATTCACATAAAAATAATATCTATTCAAAACACAATTAATTTTAATTACACTAGTATGTGACATTTCAAGTCTTAATAAATTAATCATGTGAACCAACATGAATTCAATAACAAAAATTTATATGATAGTTCACATTTCCCCCTCCGTTATTTTTTTAGATTAAACACTTATGCATGGATCAATAAATATCCATACAAAAATTTAAAATTACTTGCAATCACAAATATCACATACTTTCATCATCAAAAGTGAATATCAAATATATAAAACAAAAATCAAAATACTTTAATAATTCAATATTTAAAATACTTACTTGATTTTATTTTTTTTAATATACTTATTGTATAGTAAGTACTTGTTGGAGACTTGAAATACTTTATTGACCAAGCTTCCATTACCTCCAATGCCACATAAATTTGATTTCCTTAACTTTGCACCCAAGATGATCAATATATTCGTATAAAAATATTGGATATATTTTTTTCTCCTTGACTTTTCATTTATCTCAGCAACATGACATCACAACACAACAAATACTTTTAATATCAATTATCATTGAACAATATAAATCAATTTACAAATTATTCCTCAAATTATTTAAATTTGTATCAATAATAAAATTCACACAAATAAATTAACAATATAGATCATGTCACAAATATTAATTTTCAACACAATCAATATTATTGACCTTGAATAATAATATTTGATAGGTACGTAACCATAAGGTATACAAAATAAACATTACATATCAATATGTAAATAATCTCATACACATAAAATATGTTAGTAGAAAATAATATTTATTTTCCATCAAACATGATCTTGTTATCTCAATAACCACATGGTAGTGACAATTACATCATTATTTGCTTTTTTTCCAAGAGCAACATAATCACATGAACGGAGGATGCCATTGAAATATGTTTATTGTCTTTAAAGCTCAATAAAATAAAGAATTAACAAATATATGTATATTATCACATATAAAGAATTGTTAATTCACCCTTAACAATATATGGTCTAGGTGTAAGATTCAAATAAGACAATAAATAAAATGATTTGTTTTTTTTCACATGGCTAATTAACATCTATAAATTTATTTTCAATTAAGTAGAATCATCAAACACTAATAAAATCACAATAGATAAGTAATGGTATTGACATTATAAAAAACGTAATATTAAAACTTCATGCCCAAATTCGTTTCACAATTTTAATCATTAAATCATAACTTCTTATCGTCTCAAATTGTTATTCCTAACACACAAAAAGGAGCATAATTAAATAGTAAATATTGACATGATAAATAAATAACTTTATTGTAAATTAAATAAATAAAGAATTTGAAATTTTTATCTTGATCATTAGAAAAATTAATGATTAAAGTCGCATTACCATATTTCGCAAGTATAAAGATGACCAAACCATCAAAATGGTTTACCATAATTTTTAGATGACTAGGTTGAGAAACAACCGGGTTGCTTTTTGAGACGATACGCGCCATCCGTAGAATTTATCCGATGTAACGGATAAAAAAAATATTGCACGTCATCTTAGGGATACAACAAGCTCAACCACCTTACCGTGTCTTAACAAGTTTGCACTACTTGTAAAACTTAAAACTCTAAATAAAATTTAGTACCTCTTTTACCCAAAATAAAATAAAATAAACATTATATGGCTTTATAGTGGGAGATTAAAAAACACAAAAAATGAAGAATTATTTTTCTTCTTCATTAGAAAACACTGCTATAGTTTTCTCTCTAAATAACAAGAATATAAAAATGTTGTGCACTTGTAAATGACAGAAAAAAAACTAGTATATATAGCTGAAAAATAAGAGCCAGCCGTTAGTTGGAATTCAATGTACACTATTAAAGAAAATTCATGGCTAACAAACGTTAAGAATGAATTTAAATTATGTCAATAATGACATTGAAAATAAATGAAAATTTTAACTGTTGCAGCCTTTTAATTTACCATGCAAGTATTAAATAATATAAGTATTGTGAAACTGTTGTAACTTTTTATTTTTAATGAACCATGTGTTGCATTAAAAACTATTTTATAAAAAATAATCCAACATATACTCTGCAATAAAATTCTTCACGTTGCTTCTCTTTCAATGTCCCTCGTAATCTGAAAGACTAAAACCCTCCATCTTCTCTGCATCTGCCATTAAAATCCTGCCCAGCAATTCAGGAGATGTCCGAAACATTTTATCCTACAATAAAAAACCCAATCTCAGATTGCATATTAATATCATCAAATGCTCTAAATTTACCATAATAAATCCAAAATTTCAAGATCCAAAACTTTTGGCTTCACCATTAATAAATTTACCTATCTACTGGATCAAAATAGCAAATCAGAACAGAACATTTTTCCAAAACACCATGTTTCATTTTTGGTGGTGCAGCCACCTTGATTTTCATGCTGCTTGGGACTAGTGCAGAAATTTCCTTGCTCATTCTGTCAGCGATTCCTGCAAAAATTACCATACCAGTCTTTTCTGATATAGACATCACACTTCATGATGGAGTCGTATGTGGTCTAGTGGATGCCTGCAACTTCCATTTCAAGCATTGATGGTTAGAAGAGGACCCCTGGGAAACGAAATCTCTCAGCAGAAATGGTGATATCCTGCCCATCAGGCAACTTATAGCTCTTCTCAACTGCTGAGCTGGTTTTGGATTTCTTACTAAACTTATAAGGAGTGTTTGTTTTGAATAAAAATATTTTTCGAATGAAATTTTTTTATTATAAAATATTTTACTCATGTAAATTATTATTATTATTATTATTTTGAAATGTTTGATAAGCAACGATGTGAACACCAGGACAGTAATAGAATGATAATATTGTGTTGTGATTATGAGGTATCAAACCATTCCAACACCACCTTAACTTTACCATGAAATCCATTGCTACTAAAATCACCGATTTCATCCGGCCCACAAAACCCATCACCTTGCAAAAAAGACACCACTACCTCACATACATGTCATGTGGACATACCACCGGAGTCTTAAAAATCCTAAATCCAGGTGGGGAGGTTGTGGTAACGGGGTCGGTGTGGTTTTGATAAATTATGATGGTATGTTTTTTGGACTGTTCTGCTAGTGATATTAGATTAGACTAGTGTGGGTGCTCTTTAGTTTACACCATTTAATAATAGCATAGTATTATTCATATGCAATTTTTCTTTTCTCTTTTTTTCTAATGGATAGATTGCTTTCAATTACTTGTAATATTACTATAAATTTATAACATATAAGTAACAAAATAGAATTTAAGATTTAAACATAATAATTAACTACTAAATTTTTCATTAAAATTAAACTTCATCATATTTAATAAAAACATTTCAATTAAGTCAAGTTTTTTAAATACACTATTTAATTTGGTTTCCTGTTCATGGAATGTATTATGTGCAAGAAAATCAAACTTATCAATAATTCACCGGTGAAATTATAAGTTTATATTTTATTTTGAAAAGCTTGGAGGAAAAAAAAGAGATAGAGAAGAGAAACATGATTACAACATGAATCATTTGACAAATTGAAAATGACTCATTCAAATACTTTCCTTTGTAAATTACTTATCTTGATAGAGTAGAACATCAATTAATGACACTTTTTTTTGCATATGTCTAGAAAGATCTTTATTGTAAAAACTATTACATTCAAGAAATAAGTTCAGACTTATCGGATTGTAGCCACACACTTAAGCATTGTTACATTTGCAATTAATTTTGCATTGTCTAATTATTATCAAGTTGATCAAGGCGAGAGACACGAGCAATCCAATGTTAATGTAATGAGCATCTTTCTAGTCATTTGTGATGACCGATAGTACAACCATAGTTTCCTTAATATCTACCGCAATTTTCTACCTTTTTGTATGATATACAATAAAAGATTAAAATTGTATCATGGCAAGGCTTGTTAAACTTTTAATTTAATAAACTCTTGACATAAGATTCATGACAATGACATGTGATGGTACAACACACCATTGGGTTTGCTCTTATAGTCACTTCCAAGTGTCACCTTCTCTAGATGTTACATTGCATGAACATGTCAAATATTCCAACGAGTACAAGGTTATAAATGAACTTGAAGTACAATTCATTTATGTCTATACCACTCTCAAAAAATGAAGCCACCACACAAACCTTTACATCAACTTTGAACAAATGCAAGAATGAGATGAGACCAAAGCAACCAAACCAAACTAATTATAGTCACAAATCAAAAGCAAACTAACCAAATTATATGCTAAAAACACAGATTCAAAAACTAAAATAACTTGTTCATACACAAACCAAAAAGAAAATAGCAAGGAAAAGAAAACAAACCAATATAAAAAAAAATTACCAGATTTGAATGAAAAGAAAAATAAAAGAAAATTAATGACCCAATCAAAAGAAATGTAACAACCAAATTTGTAAAAAATCGAACTCTAGAAAAAAAAATCAATAAAACATAAAAAAAAATAATAATAAGATATATTCTAGGCAACTCGCTCAATAGCTTCAAAGTGCTAAAGGACAAGATCGATAATAATTGAACGAATGACATCTAAAATCAAAAAACTTATTGATATTCATCCTATCACTTTCTCCAACTTTCATCGATCATAATTACATACCTAAAGTAGACATTATAAATTCAAAATCAAGAATATCGTGCTTCAATAACTTTCTTATCATGTTTAGAGTAAAAATAAAAAGATGAAGGACTTATAATAACTACCAATGCACACTAAAAGGATAAATAATAGATGGCTAAGAGAAAAAAAAATCATGATCAAGAAGAAAATATACCTAGGAATGGAGCAAAAAATAAAAAGAGACGATTTAGAAAAAAAAATCATATAAGATAAAACTTGAAAATTGTCTATAGTGAAAAATGGAAGAAAAAGGAAACAAAAACACTTGAAGAATGAAAGAAACCAAATGGGTTACAATTATATATTAAAAAAAAAAAAAAAGCAATGCAAGAAGGACAAAATACACTTCACCTAAAGCGTAAAACTAAGCAAGTTGCTCACTTGACCAAAGTAATAAGTGCATCGGATGAAGGAGAATAGCAAACCATCGCCAACCTACACACACTACATCTAAAAACAATAAAGTTAACTATTAGACATGGGATTAGAACATTAAATAAGCCAAGAAAAATTGAGATATGACAAATCAAACCAACCTAAGAAGTAAGCCAAAAAAATCACACTTCTTCCAAATGAAACACTATAAAAAAAAAATTCCAAACTCAAGCACATCTTTAAAATATCATAAAATAAAAATATATCACTAAATTATCAATGTAAGCCCTAAAAATAATTAACCGAAAAAATAAAATAATTATGAAAGCATAAGAACTAAAATGTAGCATCACAAACTATAATGATTAAATTTGATAGAAAATTATGAGCATCTCAAACTTTCCATAAATAATGTCATGACCATCCCTTAACCAAATAATCTTTTAGTCTAAGAATTGAACTTCTTGAGCAACAAAAAACCTTAAAAACCAAAATAAATAACTAAATAAATAAATAAATCAAGACCTAAGACATAATTGAAAGCCATTTTCCCAAACAAAAACACTAAGTCATCAAATCTACCAAACATGGCATGAAAAGCCATTGTTAGGAGAGGTCAAACAATTAAAACAATTATTTATCAACATCATGTTTAACTCGCAAAGAACAGATAAAAGGGAAAAATAAGACCTTTTGACTATTCGTTTAAGTAGTCACCAACTGTTCAAATGAAATAAAGAAATATTAGAATGGGATTTATTTATAAGCAACAACATTTTTGTAAAGAACATTAGAATGAGCTTCTTTCCACTTTTGAATCAACCAATAAAAACACAATCTAACTAATAAACTACTAATAAATGCTTACCCATATCCACATGATGAATGCCAATTTGAAGGAACTCCATAAAGAAAAAATCATAGTTTAGAGAAAAAAAACAACAACATTAAAAATTCAAATATGAAAACTCAATCCAATTAGTAATGTAAAATCAATTGAAACCATTAGTAATGTAAAATCATTTGAAAGTATAAAGAACTAAAATTCTCCATTTACATATTCAAATCCTATTAATATCTCATTCTATAATCAAATTCTAACAAAGCATGCGAGGAATGTCCTTTTGATCTCAATATCGAAGATCAAACCATTAGTAATATAAGATTAGCTAAAAGTATAAATAATTGCAATTCTCCCATTCACCTATTCAAATCTTGTAAATATTCAAATTCTAGAATTAAATGCATACAAAGCATAAAAAATTAAAAAAAAAAAAAAGTGAAAAGGAAAAAAATCATAACTTTGCATGACACTCACCTAGTAAAAAATATTTGATTGGAGGTAGAGAAATTTAATCACCTACAAAAACAATAAAATTATCAATCTTTATTGAAATTATGAATCATACTTAGGCAAAGGCAAAGGCAATGGTGCATTCTACTATGTAAGAAAAAGAACCCTAACACCTTAAATTGCAAATAAAACTGAAAAAAAAATTATTAGAAAGACTTAAATCAAATATTTCAATCACCCCTCAAAGAAAATGAAAACATTTGCTAAAAAAGAAGAAGTAGACATAGGGGTTTTCACTCTTTCATGTGAGTTTTTACCTACAACAAATAAAATGTTTCTGCCTTTATATCTCTCAAGAAACAAATCAATTGTGTTTTTGAATGCTTTAGGATCCAATAATAGGGCAGCGATATCTTTAAAAAAAAAAAAAAACTTGCTATACCAAACCATTACTATTTAAACTTTTAACTACTAGTATAGTCCTATATACATGGTTCTAAAAAGAAAAGCAATGGTCTTGAATCTTGAAAGTCTAAACTTTTTTTTTTACCAAAATAAAAATGTTCAAACATTTAGTGCCTTAAAAAATAGAAACAAAAAAAATCAAACAATTTCTTGAAATTTTTAAAGAAGAACAAAACTTTGAATTGAAAGAGACTATAAAACCTAGTTACAATGACATCCGTAGTAACCTATTCTTGAATATTTGATTAAAATTTAAGATTATACTATTTTTACTAATTCTACATTTCGAGCAACCAAATAAAGCATAAAAAACAACAAAACCAAACAAAATAAATGAAAAACTCATAAAATCCACACTTCAAATGGAAGAAGAAGACGGAGGAAAAAATAAATAAATAAGAAACTCATAAAATCCATAATTCAAATCAATGAAGAAAGAAAAATAAATAAATGAGAAACCCATAAAATTCCACACTTCAAATCGAAGAAGAAGAGAGGAAAAAAACAAAATAAATGAAAAACCCATAAAATCCACACTTCAAATCTTATAATTTAAAAAAATATAGCTCTAAGAAAAGAGGAAAAAAAATTGAAAAACCTATAAAATCCTAACTTTAAATTGAAGAAGATAGGAAAAAAATCAAAATAAAAAAATCCACACTTTAAATCGAAAAAAAAAGCGAAAATAAAATCAAAATAAATAAGAAACCTACAAAATCCACACTTCAAATCTTATAATTGTTTAAAACATCTCCAAAAAGAGAGGAAAAAGAATAAATGAGAAACTCATAAAATTCATAGTTAAAATCCAATAATTTTTGAAAACTAACAAGGTCGAAAGCAATTCTTGCAGGAGATAGAAGCTAAAATAGGTAGTGATGAGATAAATTTTTTTTATTATTATTATATATGAAAAATGGAAGGCCAAGATTTTAGGTTAAAAATGGAAGGCATTTTAGGCCAAGTTAAGTCCTTTTGTCCCAAAAGATAAAAATGAGTTGGTGGTAATAGAAAAATAAATAAATAAAAGAGGTCAAAAGTATAAAAGAAGAGTTGAAAATAGAAGTGAAAAGACAAAAGGAGAGTGAGAAAAACAGATTAGAACAAACAAGTGAGAAGGAAAGGCACTCAAATTACATCCATAGTGTAACTAAGTGTGAATGAACAATGAGTAAATAGTAAAAAGTCTTATTATTATTATTTTTGTTAGTTTTGTTTGTTAATTTGAGCTAAAAAAAACAGATGGGAGATATGGTGGTGGATGCCTAGCTGGAAGGGTCTTTTGGGTTTTTACTTAAATAGGGCAATCTAGTTTTTTCATAATTATACTAATGAAATCTCTAATCCCATATGAGAATGTAAAGTGTAAAGTGTTATAAATGAAACATAAGGGTGTAAAATTTTCATGCATTAAAACTACATGATGTTTTTAGCAAGTTTTCCTTTTTCGATCTAATTTATATTGAGTTACATAATAAAAATAGCTATTCATAATTAAGTAATTGTAATTGAAAAATTACGGTGAGTAAGATTGTAATTGAGAATATACAATCTTGTTCCAAAACCCTAGCCTTTATCACTAACATGGTGGCGAGTAGACCTCACATATGGGAGGAGATTACCTTCCAACCAAGCATCCACCTCCTTCCCTCCTCTACCCTAGTCACCCACTCGTTGGCTCAATACCCCTTCAGGAAAAATTCTACCACAAAAGATGATATACCAAAACCCTCTTATGCAACCACCTCCAAAAAAAAAAAAAAAAAAACCCAACCCTACATTGCTTCCAATAATTTCATATATCTCCCAAGCCTCCAACCACAAATGAAGGAGAGCCGGATGAAGAGTTCTTGATAGCAGACCAACAATAATCATCTAAACTATTTGAGTACTTCTTAGTTGAAAATTTTAGTAGAGGTCATCCTCATATCAATACAATCCAATCCCATATTCCGCATAACCGGGGTTTAGCCGACGACTCGTGATAGGCATGATAAATCCAAGACACGTGTTCATTCGATTATTTCGGCCATTCAAATGGGAGGAAAACTTCAACACTAGATATGAATCTTCATGAGTAGTAGTATGGGTGAAGTTGCCGGGACTTCCTCTTCCCTTTTTTCCAGCGACCTTCCTCGGTGAAATAGTTCATCCTTTTGGGAATTTCCTACGAACGGATAATAGAACGACCAATAGATCTCACCCCATGCATGCTCGTGTATTTATAGAGGTGGATTTGCAAGACACAACTCGTCAAGGATTTGGATTTCGTAGGACTTGATAAATCTAAAGGTTTTTGGTAACAAGTTCAAAGCGATCCAACACGACCTTTTGTGAGCACTACCATCTACAAGGGCACATGAAATCACACTATAGGAAAATAACAACAAGTTTCCAAAACAGAATAGCAACAACCAAGAATATGAAAGACTAGTCCAAAGGGATCAATCATCACGGGGAGTAGAAGTGGAAATTGGTTCAAAAAAAGGAAAAAATCGAGCCGATCCCGAGGAAAGAAGATTAATTCATCCCATGCAACATCCAAAGCCCATTGCTTGTATCACAATCGAATAACGGGAAGGGTAAAGAAATTACCACGGATCTACAATTTCAAAAAGCTCATAGACTTCAAAGTCTCTACAACTCGGAAGCACTCCAAGATCAAGTAAGCATAATACACCTAGAAGACAAGTATAGACACACCGTAGAAAATTTACAAACTAAGAGCCATTTATTAAAGGTCGGAAATGCCTCGATCGAAACTGGAATATAAGAGAATGTTACGTTAAATGAAAAAGAGCTATAGGAACATGTAGCCATAATTGTTGAAAATAGTATGCATGGGATAATTGCAAGTAATAAAAATAACAAGACATATGGCATACAAACTATGGCGTCACGGAGGATAGATGCTGCAAACAACAATATAGATCGGAATAATGTAAAAAATAAGAACATCGGTATCCGGGATAAATACCCCTTCCATTCCGGTCACACAATTACCCAACAAGTAGAAAAGCTTCAAATTACAACCACATCAAATAACATGCAGCTATTGGAGTATGCATCTTTCAACTTATTTATCGCCTTACAAGGTGTATCGGTTGAGAGCCTAGAAGACAATATTTCTAATCGAGCATGCGGACTCGAAATTCTCGCCTCATGTACACTTTGAAGGATTCTAGAGGAGGGTTAGGCTACCTCGAATTTCAAACCATACTAGATTTGATAGAGAGACAAGGTATTCGAATGACCAAGAAATAAAAGAAAAAATTACCGAAGCGTTTGGTGCAGGCAAAGTGGAGGAAGAGTAACTAGATCTGTCGACGGTCATAATGGAGAACCTTTTCCTCTCACTCCCATATATATATAGCCTAATTTAGAATATGCGAGGCATAGGTGCTCCAAAAAAAAAGAGATACTTAAAAAGCTTAGTAAAAGCAAATAAAGTGTCCCTTTTTATTATAATAGAGCTAAAGCAAAATAAGGATAAGTTACGAAGTTTGCACAAACCATGAAGTTTCTAGGATTTGCCCATGGTAATCCGGTGAATAGCCATATTTAGGTACTATGGAAGGATTGTTTTTGGATTGCGATAAAGGCTATCCACTCTCAATCAATTACCGTAGAAGTGAAAGAAACAACCACCAACTTAATTTTCCTCCTCTCTACAGGTGTATACATGTTGTGATAGAAGGGAAAGAAGATCGTTATGGGATAACTCGCACTCACTTTCCACATCCCTACCCTGGATTGTTGGTGGGGATTTTAACACTATAGGGAAATCTCCTAAAAGGCTAGAAGTGCCCATCCGGACTTTGGCTCCATTCTAGAGTTCAACCGTGGCATTCAATAGGTAGGTTTACATGATTTTGGCTTTAAAGGAAGCAGATTTACATGGAGCAATAATCGGGTAGGGATGGTTAGAGTCCGGAAAAGACTAGATAGAGCGTTTGTCAATCGGGTTTTTCTTTCTAATCCGCCAAATCCGACTTGTGAACACCTAGTTAGAGCGTATTCGGACCATTTTCCCATTTTATTAGCTCTAGAGAATGAAAATAGAAAACCAGACTTCGGTTCACTTTAAAAAAAATATGGACTACCCACAAGGATTTTCTATCCTTTGTTCACGATAACTAGATCGTCCAGATACGGTAGTATTCCATATGTTAACTTGTAACCGAAACTAAAAGCTCTATGAGGATGACTTAGGATATGAAATTGAAGGGTCTTTGGTGACTTAAACATAAAAATCAACCATGCAAATGATGAGTTGATTCGGGCGAAGCATTTTTAGAGCACGACTAGTCTAAAGTGAATGCTAGGAATGAAAATGCTACAAATAAGTGTGTACAATATCCGATAGATCGGGAAGAATAGTTATTGTAAGAGAAATCAAGAATTAATGGCTAGAAGTAGGTGATCATAATTAAATGGCTAGAACGACTAGAACCAAGTTTACTTTGACTTTAGAAGATAGCACAATATGTTCGGATAGAGATACAATTGGTAGTGTAGTTGTAGCTCACTTTTAACAAGCTTTCTCCAAAGATCAAACAGTTATGGACATTGCTTATCTATAAGTAATTCCATCTATTATAACAGACTCTCGTAACAACAACTTAATGGCCGTACTTGATGAAAAAGAAATCAAATCCAATGTCTTTGGAATGGATGAGCCGAGTGCTCCTAGACTCGATGGCTTTACTAGATTTTTCTTCAAAACTTATTGGGATGTCATTTGCAATGATGTAGTTAGTGCAATACAAGATGGTTTTCAATAAGGGGACATCCCAAAGAAGGTCACAACTACTAACATGATTCCGATCCCTAAATGTCCTAGACCATTGCATTTCATAGACTTAAGGCTAGTCGGTTTGTGCAACCTCTCCTACAAAATTCTATCCCGAATTCTTACCAATTGGTTAAGCAAGGTATTACCTCACTTGATCCCACAAGAGCGATCCGGCTTAATTAAAGGGAGGGCTATTCACGAGAGTGTGGCCTTAGTACCTAAGCTCGTTTAATGACATAGATAGGAATTTTTTAGGGGGAACATCATTCGAAGGTAGACATAGCGAAAGCTTATGACGAGTCGGATTGGAACTTTCTTCTTAAAGTGATGTAGTAGTTTGGCTTCTCCTCATAATGGTGCAACCTAATTTACAAGTGTTCGTGTAATTATTGGTACTCACTTATAATCAACTCTAAAGCCTACGAGTTTTTCAAATCTTATAGAGGAGTATGACAAGGAGACCCTCTTTCTCTAGCCTTGTTTATCCTAGCACAAAAGCCATTTAGCCGATACCTAAAGGCAAAGATAGAAGCTAGTTATATTAAGCATTATCATTCGGTTGAAACAAACTTATTGTCTCATATTTACTATTTTCAAATGACATGCTTTTTTTTTGTAATGGAACTAAGAAAAATATGAGAAGGCTGATGGCTCTTATCCATGATTATGTAGTAGCCGATAGACAAGCTATAAACAACGAAGAAAAGTCTTTTGGTGTGCGGTAATTAACTTTCGGCTAGTAGGAAGAATCTACTTGCATCTTTGACCGACTTCAAAATTTTAGCAGTACATCGTTAAATATCCGGGGTTACCATTATTTAAGGGCGGGGCTCGTATAGAATACTTCATGCTTTTGGAACAAAAAATGAAAGATAGACTAGTAAGTCGGAAGGGTAAATTATTATCTACAGGAGGTAAAATAACCCTCATACAGAGTGTGCTTAATTCTAGACCATTATATATAATGGGCGTACTTTCGATTCCTAAATCCATTATCCACAAATTATAGAGTTATCTTTCAAAAAATTTATGGAATAGTGGTGAGGAAAATGGGCATCACTCTGGTTAAGTTCGGAAGAAAAAAGCTTTACTAGTGCAAGAAGATGGCTTAGGAGTAAGAGATCTATATAAAGTTATGCATGCTATGTAGCACAAACTAGCATGGGCCTATCTCGTCAATTGCTCCCTTTGGAACTCCTTTATACGGTCCAAGTATGGGAAACCTTACATACTAGTAGTTTTAAACAAGAAGAAGGGATCTCTAGTATAGAGAACTTTGCTACAACACATTCGCACCATAATGGCAAGATCTATTTAAGTGGTAGGCTAGGGAAGATTAAACCGTGGCAAGAAAAATGGATCGAGGTGCTACTTCCAAACCCCTCCAACAATTCTACTTAGGATGTTTCAGTTGTAGAAGCCAAACAAAATCCTCTCCTTTATCAATCCCTACCACTCGCCGTCGGACAAGAGTTGGATCAAATAAATCCGGAGGATGATATTTAACATACCTTATACTATATGGACTCAAAACATGGTATATTCAAAACAAAGGATTACTATGCAACGTGTAGAACCACTAGCACTCATTTCTTGTTGGCATAGTTTATCGAATAAATGGCTTGGAGTGTTATCTTGGCGATATTGCATAATGGTTTGGTAGTGGATAGCAATGTCCAAAGATGTGGTATACCATTAGCTTTAAAATGTCACTACCGTAGACAACATCAAAAGGAAACCGAGAGAACACTTGTTTTTGCATGGAGACATCACCAAGGAACTCGTGGAGTTTTTTCGATAGAATATTGGATGTTGTACCTAGTTCGTCTACTATCACGAATAAGTTATCAAATTGGTTTCCAAAGGATAACTTGGTTATACAGAAAAGGTTTTCTTAGATGGTGGTATTTAACTACATACTGTGGGAAATGTGGTTAGCTTAGAACAAGGCTATGTTTGAAGAAGCATAAGTAAAGGTGATTTCAATCAAACACAAAGTGCTCAAATGACTAGGGGAGTTTACAAAATTGTTTTTCCCAAAGAGAAACCTTTCCTTTCATGATAGCATTGGTATCAAGGCCTTACATGTACAGTGTCCAGGCACCTAAAGTAGTTAAGGGAACCTGGATAAAATGGCAACTACCTTCCACTCGGTTTGGTGAAACTAACATAGATGGCGTTTTAAGGGGGATGTCCGATTGGGTGGAGGAGTTCTTAGGGATGAGAATGGAAGAGTACTCCTTGATTTTTCCATGCTTTTCGAGTTTGGAAAAAATACTAAAGAAGAAGCTTTAGCTTTGTTACATGGTATAAACATTTGTCGTGCTTATGACTTATGCTATCATGTTATTGTAGGAGACTCCGCATTGGTTTTTAGGAGGTTTAGCTTGCCAAACTTCCATTCCATGGAAATTAACATATATCTTCAAAGCTTGCTAGGCGAGTATTCCAAATCATATAGTTATTCAGCATGGGCATAGAGAGAGGAATAAAACAGTCGATAGCCTTATGGATTGGGTCTTTCAAGCACATGTCTTACGGAATTATTTTTTTGAAGAATGAACTTCTTGCTAAGTGTCGATAGGCTATCTCGGATGATAGAATAGGCTTGTATACTTATCGGATCGAAAATGAGTAGGGCCTTTAGTATGTAGTAGGCATTTGGTTGAGTTCTTTGTACTAAATAGTTTCAAGGTTTTCAATTATTGTTCTCCTTTTTTTTTTCAGCGGTTTAGGTTTCCTAGCCACCCCAAGCATGTTGGGGTAGGTTTGGATTATCCCCTCTTGTGTTTTTTTTTTTTTACCACAATTATCTATATATTTGTTAGGGTGCCATCCCCGTTTCTTAAAAAAAAAGATTATAATTGAAAAATTAGAGTGGGGATTCAAGTTTTACTTTATTGAAGAAAGCTATCAACTACACAACCATTAGATTAAGCTTCTTAAGCTCACTTAGGTAGTGCTAAAACCTTTTTTTTTACCTATTTAATTTATTAATTCTTAGAAAAAAAGAAAAGAGATATAAAAAAAGACAATTAAAATAAAAGATAAGTGAATAAAATCATTTCGGAGGGTTTAATTGAGAGAAATATGAGCATTGGGGACAAGGATGCAATTGAAAAGTCCAAAATCTTAAATCCTTAATTAAAAGAAAAAGAGGATACAATTAAGGGAAATTAAGGGAATGAGTCCAAATTAATTGTAATTAAAGGGTGTCATTGAAATTCAAGCAAGCAAAAGGCATCAAAATTGACAAATACAAGGAGACCAAGGAAAGAAAATTGATATTTATCCAAAACCCTAATTTTTTCTATAAATACCAATCTTCTTTCTCATTTGAGGGAGGCTAGCACCATTCAGAATCTTCTAAAAATTTATAACCATCCTCTCCATTTTCCAACCAAAACTATTCCCTCATACTTAATTGAAACATCTCCTTCTCCTCCACCCGCATACACCGACCACCTCCTCCACTTGATCGGACCTTCTCCTCCACCATACCAACCAAACACTCCTCTTTCTTCTCTTTATTTCAGTCAAATCCATTATAACACCCCCAATTTAGAATCTAATAGGTCGAGAATATTATCATTATTGACTTACATTCGAAGTGCAATGAATGTAAGCTAACAAGGCACTATGTCTTTCTTATGGTATTACTAAGTATGAAATTCGCTATGGAAGCCTAACAATGGCAAGTAGTACCTAAATTTTAGCTTAAAATGCACTATAAATTTTTTGTTTTCTAGCATTTTATTTAAATTGCTTGGACTGATTGGATTAGATCTATGATGCTTGATTTTCTCAAATTTCTTTTCTATTGGCCTATATAAATTTTTTTATTTGTTGCTCGTTGTTTGGTATTTAATATCTTTTACCCTCATCATTTTAGTGATTACATTTTAATATTAATGTTGGCATGTAAATAAACAATTAAAATAATCTAATACTATTCAATACTATATTATCATATTTTTTTACCGATATGTCCAAGTTTCGGCTAACATATAAACTAATTTATATTTTACATATACCAATTTTATGCCATATGCTACAAAAATAGCTTATTATTTATTTACATCTATTTTCTTTCGAGCTAACTATTTATTTGTTCATGGCTTTAAGTATCATGTAAAAGAACGAAGCCATACCTAGTATGTAGAATAAAATACCGAGAACTAATATAAATACTATTTGAAGGAGGTCCACTTTATAGCCATACCTAAGATACACACAATGAACTCGATCCCTCGCTAGTCAATTTAAATGTGAACATTGCCATGTTTAGTACCTACACCACGGGAGCTTGGTAAGTGATTGCTTAGTAAGTAATCTATGCATGACGTGCACGTCGGTAGAATGTATATGATAAATTATATGCAAGTTCTTTGAAAAATCCTTTTTTTTTCATGTCATAAAATCCTCATCAAGATCAATTTGAAAAATATTTTCTATATTTGGACATGTCCCCTCTTTGGACTTCAAGGTTTCCATGATATATTTGGAGAACTAGACCAATCTACGAGATGCACCCTATCGAGTCTATGGAGGTGCATGTCCGCACCCACTCGATTTGAAACCTTTAACCATAAAAGTCATGGAAAGCTCGTGAAGCCCTTTCCATGAAACCATGAAGTTATGAAAACCTTATAACCACGAAAGATTTTCAATTGCTATTGAGAAATCCTTGAAAGAAAATTATTTTTTCATGAATTTAAACCTTTTTTCCATGAATTTGGCATGCATATGAATTTTAATGTAAATGCATAAGTATCATGAATTCATATAATGCATGCCATGAATGGTGTATATTTATGCAATACCAATGCATATCTAAACATTATAAATACATCAGAACACATTACCTTATAATGCCATTCCAAATCATTCCATACAAATGAATCATGAACATAAACATCACATAGTCCTCACATTAGCAACATTATACAACACAAGGCATTACACACATTCAATCATCAATTTCACAACTTCCATAGCATAGTAATCACATAATACGCATCAATGGCACCAAGTAAACTACATTATAACCATGATACACAAATCAAGCCACAACCCTAATTTTCTTTAAGGTTGGTGAATATATTCTTAATCCAAACTAGGTAGATTTTTCAATTTCAATGCCAATTTCTTATGCTAATTCATTCAAATGCACTTTGATATCACAAATTTAACCAATAAGGCATTCATAAACTAATAGAATTCAAAATTCTAATTTGGGTCCTAATGGGTCGAAACTTCACCTAGGGTGAACTAAGATAATTTTTCAATTTCAATGAAATCTCTCCCGTTAAATAATATTTTTATACTATACTAACTTGAAATTAATCAATTAAACCATTAGAAATCTAAGCATTAGAACCCTAATTTTTACCTTATTTAGGCCAATTGTGGGCTAAGATAACTAAGTGAAATTTTCAATTTTTATGTAATTTACGAAGCTAAATCATCTATTCATACTTGAATAACACATAATCAAACAAGAATTCATCAAACAAACCAAAGAATAAAAAACCCTAAATTTCTCAAGTTGGGTTGAATGCTTCATAAAGAATCAATCTCGAAATCCTTGTTTCTAACGTATGTTTTCAAGTGTAATTAACATATTCAAACTTCAATTACATGAATTTCTATGTCAAAATCATTTCTCCTAAATTTTTTTCACTAAGAACCCTTATCCTAATTTCAAAAATTAATTCAATCTAACATAAATGAAGGGTTTCAAATCAACAATTGGCATCAATAAATCCTTATAGTGTAGGTAAGATTAACTTACCTTTAAATCTCCAATTACACCCTTGAAAGATTGGTTTCCTTTGAGATTTTCTTCCATTCCTTTTTCTTCAAACTTTTGGCCCGATCCTCAATTTTTTCTCCTTAGGATTTTTTATTTTCTAACTTGAATTCTATGCTTAATGGGATATTTTTAGGTGGTTAAAAGTTTTTAGGTGGAAGTCTATGGAAATTTTGTAATAATTCCCCTTGTGTTTTGCTATTTTTCCAATATTTTTCCTATTTCTCTTCCACCCATATTTATAGGTAAGCTTGGGTGGACTTTCTCCATGTTTGACTTGATCTCCACCCTTCATTTGGTTTGATCCTAGCCTCGTGATTTTACTTTTAATCTAAGCCCTTCATTTATTTTAATTTTTAGCCATCCATTCTTTCTTTAAATTTTAGCCTTCCATCTAACCATCTAATTTAAAAGCTAACCCTCCATTTGTGCAATACAATTAATACACCCAAATAATTGAGGGAGAATGACAACAAAATGGGGGAGAAAATCATCCTAAAGTTATTTAATTTTAGTCCCTCAATTTAATACACTTTCCTACAATTACTCTTCCACAAGTCCTCCAATTATTCAACTGATTCCTTTAGGGCCTTCCTTTAAGGTTTTCATATAAACTTTTTACTTCTTAAAGTTCATTTCTAATTTAATTCAAGAGTTTAAATTTTTAATTTTATGCAATTAGGTCCCTACTTCTATAAAATTTATTCCACGCCTTTCCAAAAATTAATTTCTTTCTATAATAAATTCAAACACATCCTATAAGAATTTATTCATCATTCACATAATTTTTATTATTCAAGCCCTCAAATTAATTATCTTGTGTAAAAATACACTTATTTCTATAGAAAATATTTTCTATGCATAAAAAAAAATTCACGTAATTCATGGAATATTCTTACACCTCCTTAATGATTTTTCTATGCCCATTGGATAATTTTCAAACACATTTAAAATAATCAAAATAATTAATTTCATGAAAAAATACTATTCATGCATCAAAAATATTCATTGAACATCAAAAAATTCATTCAATGGTATTGAATAATTTAGCACTCCTCCGGCAAATATTCTATGCAAAAAAGACATTTTTCATGCACGTTTAAAATGCTCAAAATAATTATTTTGTATAAAAAATTACTATTCATGCATCGAAAAATATATAAAATATTCACTCGGTACAAAAAAATTATCCGAAACACATTAAATATTCAAACGACCTCTTAATAATTATTCCATTCCCATGGAATAGTCTTCTTACAACTTTAATATATTTTTAATTTATTTAATAACGAGTTCGGGATATTACACCCTCCCCTCCCTATAAAATTTTTGTCCTCAAAATTTTTAGTTCAACAACTTGAGATATCGAGCTCGCATCTCCACTTCTCTTTCCCATGTTGCTTCCTCAACTTCATGATTTCTCAATAATACTTTTACTAAAGTGAATTCTTTATTTCGTAATTTTTTAAACTCTTGATCCAACACTTGCACTCGGTCATTCCTCGTAACTCATGTCGGGTTAGAGGTTTAGTGGCTCATTATTCAACACCGACTCAAGTCCTTAACCTACTTTTAAAGCATGCTAATCTATAAGCTCAAAAACCAATTCTCTCTAATAGTTTGTATGGTCTAACATACCTCGGACTCAAGTTTCCTTTTCTTCGAACCTCATAAAACCTTTAATAGAAGCGAATTTCAAAAATTCTTAATCGCTAACTTAGAATTCCAATTCTTTTCTTCTCACATCCGTATATTTTTTTGTCGGCTTTGGGCCATTTCCATCTTTTCTCTAATTTGTTAGATGACATTAGCTATTTGCTCGGATCAAGTCCGGCCCTAGCAACTTTCATTCATGCACATCATATTGACGATCGGCATTTCTTTTTGTATAAGACTTCATATGGTGCCATGCTAATACTTGCTTGATAACTCTTATTATAGATGAATTTGGCCAATGAGAAGTATCTTTCCTAACTTGGTAACCAATCTAGCATGCACGTGCGTAACATATCTTCTAATATTTGATTCACCCTCTTGGTTCATCCATCAATTTGAGAGTGAAAGGTAATGCTCAAACTCAATAGTTCTCATCATTTCGTGTAAAATCTTCCAAAATCTTGATGTGAATCGTGGATCTCTATTCGATACAATTGATGTTAGGATCCCATCCAACCTTACTATCTTCTTTAGGTATAACGCTACATACCATTGTATGGAATATATGGACTTGATAGTCGAAAGTGAGCCGATTTGGTTAATCGATCTACAATAACTCATATGTCATTGGCTCCACACTTCGACCTTGAAAATCAAAATATGAAATCCATCGATATGTGTTACCATTTCCACTAAAAAATATCTAACGATCTTAATAATCTCGAGGTTCTTGGGTGTTCGACTTTAACTTATTGGCATGTTAAACTCCTTGCCATATAGTCCGTAATGTTGCATTTCATTCCTTTCTACCAATAGACCTTCTTGGGATCTTGGTACATGTTTATAGCACCAAGGTGTATCGTGTAGGGCATGATATGAGCTTCATTTAAAATTTTCTCCCGAAGCTCCTTTACATCGGGAACACATAATCTACCTTAGTAGCTTCGGATACCTTCGTCATCCAAGGAAAAACCCGTTATCTTTCCTTTAGCTACTTTCCTTTGAACCTTAAGTAGCTTCGGATCACATGACTTACCCTCCTTGATTCTTTGCTTGGTATTTGGCTA